ATGAAATATCAATTATTATAGTAATTATGTAATTAATTATATCTATATTTCATTTATGAAGGGTACATAGTACACTGTTGTTGGAACCATCATTGACATATATATGTTTAATGATTGGAAGTTCATTCGGTGTTCAAGATGCTATAAGAAGGCTACTTTCGTTGATAAACACTACTTTTGTTCTGGCTGTCAGAAAATTATAATTAACCCGCGTCAAGTATGTATGTATATATATATATATATATATATATATATATATATATATATATATATATATATATATTATATTACTTATATGATGTTTCTAATAACTTTTGTATAGGTATAAGTTGGTAGTTGAAGTAGCTGATAAGGATAAGGAGATGAGATGTGTTTTCTTTAATGAATATGCTACTCAACTTACTGGACTTACTGTTGGTGAATTAGTTAATATGAATTTATTGGAGGTATTGTTCTCTCTCTCTCTCTCTCTCTATATATATATATATATATATATATATATATATATATATATATATATATATATATATTATATATATATATAAACACCCACACAAATGTTTCCATATAATACTACTTTATTATGTTTTTATAGGGTGGTAATGATCCTAATTGGGTACGTACTTTCCTGTTTGAAAGGTTATGTGGTCTAAGTATTGTTTTTTCAATTAAGATTGACCATTACAATTTGGCACCACAATATGTGTGTCGTTTCACGGTTACTAAATACCATGGTGCAATTTGTAAAATTCCAAACCAAGAAAAGACGTCGCCTACAAATGAGGCCATTTCTCAGTTGCAAACAACTGTTGTCGAATCATTGTTGTCTACATCATCTGCATCAACGGTAAAGTTTATTGGATCTTACATTATACATTTTTTTATTGTATTGTTTATTTCTTATTTTCCGTTATGTATTTTTTTTTGTTTTTTTGTTTGCTTATCAAGGAGTTTGTGTTTCTGATAAGTGCAATTCTCAGGTAAATAATCTTAAATTTAGAAATTATACTACAGATCATGTTTCGTTTCATTAAATGATTTTTACTACATATTTTCTTAAATTATCTTTATTTATTATGTTCATTATTCATATTTTTTTTTTCGTATTAGGATGACTTACGTAATGTCAAAGATGAGGGTTTTAGTGCTTCTATTTCGGAAGTAAATGTCACACCCCCAAACCAAGGATGGCGGAAACGTCCGGGGGTGGAGGATTTCATGTAAAGTATCACAACAACGAGTATAATAGTGCTCAAAGTAAATACAACCATCACAAATAAAATTGAAAAGGTTACACCATAGTATATATTTACATGTTTCAAAATCAATTACATCATGATGACAAAATAATTGTTTGACGATTTAACGTCCCATCCTCAAAGTGCTGATGTTTTCCTGTTTCACTGATTTCCTGAGAATACAAGTAGTTTTGAAAAAGTGTCAACAATTAAGTTGGTGAGTTCATAAGAGTTTTGTTTGAGAAAGAAACCGTTTTCCTTGTAAAAGCGATAGAGTATGATTTCCAGAAAATCCAATATTTTCCTTAAAGAGTGAATCGTAAGTTTCTACGTTAGTAAATAGTGCATCCTAGAATTTCCTATAGTTTCCTTCCATAATCTCTAAGTGTATATAAGTTATATACAATTTAAGTTAAATAAACCGTTGAATATAATGGGTCTGCCCTAGGTCCACAACCCAACGAGGAACAGGAGATGAGGCGGGCCCACCAATTCTAAGTCGATCATGACTAAATTCTATATAACTTTAGCATATACCCTTAGTAATTATGGCTGAAAACTAACAATGCTAGATAGAGTGTAGTGGTAGTGGACATAAACTATACATATCATAATTCACCAAATAGTGGTAGTGATAGTGCTCATGAATTATGCATATTATAGTTTATCAACTAGTGCTAGTGGTAGTGAACATAAACTATACATATCATAATTCACCAAATAGTGGTAGTGATAGTGCTCATGAATTATGCATATTATAGTTTATCAACTAGTGCTAGTGGTAGTGAACATAAACTATACATATCATAATTCACCAAATAGTGGTAGTGATAGTGCTCATGAATTATGCATATTATAGTTTATCAACTAGTGCTAGTGGTAGTGAACATAAACTATACATATCATAATTCACCAAATAGTGGTAGTGATAGTGCTCATGAATTATGCATATTATAGTTTATCAACTAGTGTTAGTGGTAGTGAACATAAACTATACATATCATAATTCACCAAATAGTGGTAGTGATAGTGCTCATGAATTATGCATATTATAGTTTATCAACTAGTGCTAGTGATAGTGAACCTAAACTATACCTATTATAGTTCATCAAAACAAGGGTAGTAGTAGTAATGTATGTAAACTATACTTAACATAGTTTATCCAAATGTTTGTATGTAATGGATGTACTTTGATTATAACAATTTGTTATTTCTATGCTTTATCTAGCAAAAATCCATTTGTTAACTGTTGTTGTCCTTATATTAAGACAAAATGTCATATAATGCAATAATGTATAATCACATAAAGATATACACCTTGCTCAACATGTTACAAGGTGTAATGAAGTTGATAGCATTTTTCTGTTTTTAACAATTTTTATTACTGTTCTTAGAAAATTTGTAGAAAAATCATCAAAGGTCCAAATCAGAATCCGTAAATTCTGAGAGTTTGGGAAATGAGTCTAGTTTGTTCATAAATTTTATTATGATTTTTAATGACCTCCAACTTGTGTGAAAATGTCCATAACCACAGACTGGTCCGGATTGATGTTTGAAATGATAGGCAGTTTTGTAAAAATCACCATAAATTGTATAAACATCTTATGGAGATGTGCAAGTAACCATTTTAAAGATAAGGACTTGACCTACTTGAACCTTGTACAGTTTTGAAAACTAAAATGTTTAGGTTGTCCAAAACAGTCCGTGATTGATGTCCAACTTTTCTAATGAAAGCTGTTGGAAAAGTTTAGTTGTGTTCTTGATGATTTAACTTGTATTCCCCCCCTTAAAACTTAAGAAAACATGAAAATGTAGGGGTATGAACTCACCTTGGGTGATTTCAGTGGGTGAGTGTTGAAGAAGAGAAGTGTTCAACTCAAGAACACTTGGAGGATTGCTTGAAGATTCGAGAATCTAACACTAATGTGATGGAATTCGTGTAAGCAATCTATGATTTTGAGTAGGAGGATGTGTAATAATCATAAGAAAGATGATGATACTTACCAAATGAAGGAGATAAGCCTTGGAGTATGCCTTGAAGTTCTCGAAATTGAGAGAGAAAGATGAGAGAGTTTGGAGTGTGATTCTTGGAGGAAAATGAGAGATTGAATGAAGTGTGAGGAGAGAGGGTGGATGTTCCAGCTCTAAGAACGTGGGAAATGGCTGGAAATGATGATAAGTACATTGAAATGACCTAGGTATGGTGGAAGTAGTATGGCTGGTCATGGAGTGGGTGTGGGTGGTTACTTGTGTCATAAACTAAAGAAAAGTCAACACTCCACCTCTTGTACTTCACCCACTAAATCTTGGATAAGATTTATCCCCAAAAACGTGATTACTTAATAAATATGGGGCCTTATATGTTAAAATAAAGTTTTGGGTGAAAACTCCGCGTTAAAATAATTAAAATCGGGCTTAGAACGCAAAATTAGTCGAAAACCGGGAAGAAAAGGCTTTTCTGCGAGGCCTCTCGCATGAGGGACCGAAGGTGCGAGGTTTCGCTCCTTTAGAGGGTGGGACCGAAGGCGAAGGTGGACTAGGAAGCGAAATGGACCGAAGGGTTCGGGTTCGGTTCGCGCGAGGTTCGGGTCCGAGAGGACCTTCGGGTTCGGTCCTTGCGAGGCTCGGTCCGAAAGGCAGGTTCGGTTCTTGGGGCTCCGCTCAGCAGTTCGGTCCCTATAAGGGACTTTCGGCTCTAAGAGGCTTCGGCCCAAAAGGATGGGTTTTCGGGTCCTTAAGCCTATTTTACTCGTTTTTACCCCGTTTTAAGCGGTTTTTGACCCGGTTAAGGGTCGGGATGGCCCGAAAGACTATAAAAAGTTAAAGGAACTTTTGAGAGAGATTTGGGAGAGATTTCACATACTTGGAGAGATTTCTCATACTTAGAGAGATTTGGGAGAGATTTGAGAGAGATTCTAAATAGAGAGAGATAGAGTGAAAACGATTGAGAGAGGTTTCGTGTGTGACATTTGTGAGTGTCCGGCTTCGCAACGCAAGGTCCGTAAACCCCGTTAAGCCTTGTTTAAGGGTCCTACACACTCCCGATGGGTATGCAACATTGTTTTATCGATTTGGTTCATTACTTACCACAGTTTTAGGTTAAGGAAATTTAGATACACGAACTTTTCAATTGATGATTTCTCATTAGAATAACGAGTTGTACAGTAATTACATAACGTAAACCCTAGTATACAAGGGTTAGTTGAGTTGACCGGTTTGACTTGTTGACTTTATTTGACTTTGACTTGACCGGAAATTGACGGTTGTCACAGTAAATCATACGGAATATAAAGATGTAAGTTATAATATTTTGTTTAGCAATTTTAATTCTGTTACATAATGAAAATCTTCAATTGTTACTTTGTTATTGTCTTCTTCGTGTGCATACTTAGGATGATGTTGGTTTTTTTCCCCCATTCAAACAAATATTGTTGAATCAGTATCACCTAAATCAGCAACATCAACATTACGGTACTTTTTATTGTATTTTTTACTATAAATTATAAATGTAAGTTATATTTGTTATATCTTATGTTTCTTTATGTATTTCACTTGCACAATTATTAGGTCATTTGTGATAATCATCAGGTTGATGTTTCTGACAAGCTCATTTATAAGGTAAATAATATTGAGCTCAATAATTAATTCATACCATGTTTTCTTTCCATTCAGTTTAAATTGGTGTATATTTAGTTAAATTACATTATTTGTTATGCTTATTATTCATCTTTTCTTTTCTCTTACTAGGATGGTTCTTGTAATATGAAAGATGATGCTATTGTGACACCTATGTATGAGGTTAGACATGGGAAATATATTTTAATAATGTAAGTTGTAACATATGTTTTGTCATATGGTTTTACTTATGTTATTTTCTTATAATTAGGTTGCTTCTAATAATAATGAAAATGATGGTGTTACAAAATGTGTATCTAAGGAAAAGGATGTGGAAGATAGTGACAGATGTGACAATGTATTATTAATTTTTTTTACTATTGTTGTATATTTTTTTAGGTTTGAAGTTTTCTTATTGTTCTTATTGATCTATTCAATTAGGTTGGTGATGATACTATTGAAGATGATATTTCTAAGACACCGATCTCCATATGTGGTTTACAAGATGGGGGAGAAAGTGAAGTAAGTTACAACATATTGTGTACAGTTTCTATTTTCCTTACAATATGGAACAAAATTTCAACGATTATTGTCACATCATTTGATATATTTGAAGTTTTCTTATTGTTCTCATTGATCAATTCAATTAGGTTGGGGATGATACTATTGAAGATGATATTTCTAAGACACCTATCTCCATATGTGGTTTACAAGATGGTGGAGAAAGTGAAGTAAGTTACAATGTATTGTGTACAAAATTCCGACGATTATTGACACCTCATTTGATACATTACTTTATTAGTTATGATTCTTATTTTCCTTATTTATTTATTAATTTTTTATTTTTTTTACAGTTAGGATGCTTGTGCTGTTATTGAAGTTGATTCTTCTGAAAAATCGTTTATCGGATCCTTAATAACACCAATGAAGCGTCGACTTCCACGATTGTGTGAGGAGTCTTCGGAAGATGATATTGTTAGTTGAATTCAATTTACTTTTGAAGTTTTTTGACATTGTTTTCTAGACTGTATTTCTCTTCCAATTTTCAAATTTCAAATTTCATATCATCGTAGTCCTCAGTTTTTTTATAGGTTGACTGAAATTATTAGGTAGATTAAGCTTTTTATAATAGGTTTTAGACATATTTATTATTCAATTATTTTAAATGTATAGAATGACATGGTACATTCATCTTTTTTTTGTTCTTATGACGAAGCACATTATTGTTGGGGTACCATATGCCAAATGATCTTACTAGGTTTTTCCAAAAGATCTTACTTGGTTTGTTGTTGTGGGTGATTTTATGTGAACTAATATATAAATGAATGAAAGTAATATGCAATAAGATTCAGATAAATCAACATACTATTTATACATTTGTCAACCTGTCCACTGGACGGGTATGATACTAGTTGATAATGGTGGTGACTGGTGTGGTGATTACTGATTAACGATACAGGATTGACGAAATTTTTCTAGAACGGGATTACCGAATTAGCGATTTCGTCGATTGAATTGACGATTGCTACAATTTTGGAGCGTGTGACTCCTCGATTTCTGCTACTGCCGCTTTAATTTAAGCGTCAAAAATTGATTCGATCTTTTTCCTGTTCGTTCCAAGTTCCTACTAGGCTAAGAAACATGGACTATAACATTGGGGCCCAATAAAACTAATACATACCCATAACAATTTTTAAAACTTTGTTGCCACTAAGCTCATTGAATTGATGCCCCATCTTGGGCCGGTGTATTTTAACAGAAAATGGAACCGAAGATTTTAAACATTGTTTATTTTAAAAATGTTTCAAACCATAACCCTCACTGTTATAAACAAACATAGCTTCTTATTATTATAATTTCTCTAAACCTCATAATTACAATTACACACTTCTTAGTGGAAAGGCTTAATTAATAATAGATTAATTACATATCACCACTCGAATATTCCCGAACAATGAAATACTATTGGAGCACCTATCAATATTTATACTAGAAGTATATTTTTGGCCGAAAATCATTGAAATAGGGAAGGAATAATGCTATGCAAATATGACTTTATATGGCTTGAATAGTAGGCCTAAAGGGTCGTCTTTATGGTTAAGCAAGGGTACATGATTCATCCATGATTTGGGTTGGGTTGTGTTATAAGTATCCTCTTTATCCATATTTACCCCCCCCCCCCCCTCATATTGCAATCAAACGATTGCAACTCTATTATTGTAACCGGCTCTCTTGAGCCTATAAATATGGTCTTTGCCCATATGAAATGAACAAGTTAAGTTTGAGTGTTTAAGACTTGAGTTGATCTCAAAGTTCTTCCTCTGTTGAAATAGTCGTTCTATTTAATATCATAAATATGTCTCAAGAAATAGAAAATTCACCAATCATTATTAATAACGAAGAAAATGAATCTGGATATATTTTTGATGCTTTAATTAACAAAAATAACATTAATAAAGATGCTATAAAAAATCAAATTTTACACTATCAGAAAAACATAATTTTAAAAATAACTCATTAAAAAATTTCTTTTCTAGAAAAAATATTATATATTATGGAAAAATTATAGGAGAAGAAGCAATACCTATAGAATCAACTCAAGGAAAAATTATTATACCCATAATAAATAAACAACAAATTAGAAATAGATTATCTAATATTAAAGAAGTAGATAGAATAAAAATTGCTTATATTCACATATCAACTATTCAAGTAATTTTAAAAAGTACTTTTAGCAATTTAGATACACCAATAGAATTAGAAATCAGAGATGATCGTATAATTAATAACCAAGAAAGTATTATTGCAAAAGGAAAAGGTAATTTAATTGAAAGAAAAATAAAATTTGATATTAATATTCAACTAGGATTAAGTCTTAAAGATAAAAATCTAAGTAATAGTATTACTGTACGATATAAATTATTAAGACAAAATTTTATGATAAAAGGTAATCATCCGTTTACTATTACATATCAAATAAATTATGCATTAACAAATTCTCATCATAGTATTACGTTTAAAACAAAAGATAGAATTTATATAGATAAATTATTTACTCCTTTATTATCACTTGAATCACCAAATATGACTAATAATAGAATATTCAATGAAACTAATTTTCAACCAATAATAACTACTCCGTTAATAAAAAGAAGTCCAATTATAGAACCTCCATTTTCAACTATAATGGGTAGATCTTCTATCTCGGAATGTCAACCTACAACATCTAATGAAAACAACGATGAAAAATTAGAAGATATTAAAGAAATGATTAGATCATTAAGTTTAAGAATATGACAGAATCATCTAGTAATTCCCTAAAATATTTTAAAACACTTGAAGGATCATATCAAAATACAAAACCATGTATACCAGATAAAGAAATGATTATAGAAATACCGCAAAATTTACCACAAGGAACAAATATATAATATTGGTCTTAATTCTGAAGAAGATAAATCAATAGGAGATAAATTAAATATAATTAGTCAAAAATTAAATAATATTATAGAACTAGAAAGTTTACTTGTATTAAAACAAATTCCTGAACTATTACAAAGTTTAACTCAACAAACGATATTACTTGAAAAATGTTTAAAAATAAAAACTATTAAAGAAGAACCACTTAATGAAAAACCACTACTTAAAGAAAAACCACTTACTATCAAACGACCTTTCACATGGTAAAATAAAAATTATGAGTAATAAAACCCAAGTATATTGTATTTACGATAATAAATATAAAGTTAATCTACTTAAAAAATTATGGAAAGATTTAGAAAAATCCATAAAACATTTAAAAGAAAAAGAATCTGAAGTACACGAACTAATTTCTAAAAGAAAAAAATTATACTGCATATCAATTAGTTAAAATTGGAAGATTAAAAATTGAAATTAATCATTTAAAAATAGTAATAAAAAATATTAACAATTCAATTAATTTTCTTTCAGACGCTTTAATAATTTGTTAAAATGAATTCAAAAATACAAATTAATTCTTCAAAAGATAACATGCTTTGGACTAATATATTAAAAAATCATTGGAAAATAAACTCTAATATCTCTAATATCATTCAACATTTAGAAAATGCTTTATTATATGAAGAAGACTATTTGTTAAAATTACAACCAAAAAAGGAAGAATATAATAAACAACTAAAAAAGATATCTCGATTAAAAGAAGGAATTAAGAAATATAAAAAAGCATAAAACCGTAATTTAGAAACAATACATAATGTTTCAACTATACTAACAAACACAACTTGTTAATATAAAAACTTCGCAAGAAAAAACATTAAATTAATAGAAATTTATAAACTAACCCCAATGAGTAAAAGAAAAACAAATATTAACCCAAACAGTACCTTTATTACAACCAAAATACAATATAAAGAACTAGTTTCGTATATAGATACAGGAGCTACTTTATGTTTTGGAAGAAGAAAGATATTAAAAAATTGGAAAAAATTAGAAAAACCATTAAAAATTACAATTGCTGATAAATCAATTCACAAAATTTGGTTCGTAGGAAGAGACATAGATATAGTAATTGAAAAAGCACCATTTAAAACTCCAACTATATATCAACATGATTCAGGAATAGATTTAGTAATAGGAAATAATTTTCCTTAAATTATATCAACCGTTTATACAAACAAATGATCATATAAGTCTCAATCATCCGACAAAATGTATTATAAAAACTGCAATTATCAAACATTATGATCTTATTTAAATAATCAAACAAGAAGTTGGTTTTCAACTACGCATATTACTAACATTTGCTAAAGAAATTGCTGAAAAACAACTTGAAGAAGTATGTAGCGAAAACCCGCTAGATCATTTAAAAAATAGAAATAAGCAATAAATAATAATATTATTAAAAAACCCTAATGATGAAGTTAATGTTCCAAATAAAATTCCGTATAGTATAAAAGATGTTTCTGAATTTAAACAGGAATGCACTGAACTATTAGAAAAAGGAATCATTCGACCTGACACGAGCCCTCATTCTGCACCTGCATTTTATGTAGAAAATAATAATGAAATAAAACGAGGCAAACGAAGAATGGTAATTAATTATAAAAAGATGAATGATGCTACTATAGGAGACTCATATAAATTACCACGAAAATAATATATTTTAGAAAAAATAAAAGGAAATACACATTTTAGTACATTTGATGCAAAATCCGGATATTGGCAATTACGCTTACATGAAAATACGAAACCACTAACCGCTTTTTCATGTCCTCCTCAGAAGCATTATGAATGGAATGTCCTTCCATTCGGTTTAAAACAGGCACCAGCAATATATCAGCGATTCATGGACGAAACTTTAAATGGTTTAGATCATATTTGTCTTGCATATATTGATGATATAATTGTTTTTACAAAAGGAAATGAACAAACACACATTGATGCAGTTATCAAGGTTTTACAAAGAATTAAAGAAAAGGGTTTAGTTTTATCAAAAAAAGAAATCAAAACTTTTTCAATCTACAGTTGAATATCTCGGTTTAAAAATTGGAGAAAATGGTCAATTATCGTTAACAGACAATATACGAGAAAAATTAAATATGTTTCCTGATAAACTTGAAAATAGAAAACAAATACAACGATTTCTTGGTTGTTTAAATTATATTGCAGAACAAGGATTTTTGAAAAATTTAGTAAAAGAAAGAAAAATTTTACAAAAGAAAATATCAGAAAAAATACATTGGTCTTGGACCAATACAGATACTATTTTGGTACAAAGTATAAAACAAAAAATTCAAGTTCTCCTCATTTTATATAATGCAAAAATCGACGATTTTCTAATTGTGGAAACAGATGCATCACAAGACACTTGGGCAGGTGGCCTAAAAGCAATTATACATGGAAATGTATTATTGGGATTAGATAGTGAGGGAAACCTCATATCTAACTCATCAAAAGTATACAATGATAAAGCATACACTGGTATGAAAATACCATCCGAAGTA